GTTTGATCAACGTCAATACCATCGGATCTTGTAACTTACATTTCTACATTAACTATTAACTACACATAAGTTCCCTAATGTACTACCCTTAAAAGAAAAAATTACAAATTACAATTAACTGACAACATTTCAGACATTTCAGCTTATATCTTTTTATATAACCAAATTCGACGTAACACTCATAATTGTACAGCCAAGATAATAAATATAATGACCTTGTTTTCGGAATTTGATGTGATATAGATATGTGTTCATTTCAAGTACAATGTGAGCTATCGCGTGAGCTAACGCTCTGATAAGAGAAACAGATTCTACGTAGACATAAAAGCAAGGATCATTATTCTGTTAAAGCAAGGGTTGCCTAATGTTATCCCCAAAATATGATGATCTCACACATATTAATATTATGCTTCATAAAATTAGCATAACAGTAACCTCAGTAATCTTTAGGCCGGCTTTTCCTGCTTAACTGTAACATTAGCAACAGCTTGGTTTAAAGACTTGTTCTCGTTAAAGAGGTATCTGACAAGTGACCTCAGTTTATAGCGCCCTGAGTGTCCCTTCGTCCAAGACGTATTATATTATAGACTCATTACATGGCAACCAAGTTTTATACGAGTGGTTTTCATTCTGTAGAAATAACGGTCGTGGTGACCTTGCCGTAACGTTGCCTGTTGGCGCACCCCCCCCCCCCCCCCCCCCCCCCCGCCGAAAAAGCGCCCCCCTGTTGGTGCCCCCTCCCCTTTTGTTGCCCCTCCCTAAAATTGAACAAATTAGGTGATTTTAGAGGATACACCGGTAAAAAAAGTGTGTATCTAGAGCAAGTTTTGCTAGTACTTTAGTTAAGTTTTCGAAATTGTCCCACATTCAAACGACGATTTGGCCCCCCCCCCTAACACGGCGCCCGACCCCCCCCCCCCCCCCCCCCCCCCCCCCCCCCCCCCCCCGCCCGGGGCAGATAAGCTTTTTTTCATTTTTGTGGCATGGAACCTACTCTATTTCTACAATCTTCATCGATGTTACGTCATTTGGACGTCTGCTGGTGTTATAAAGGAAGATGAAGGTTAACCCTTTAAACTATCTGAGATATGTCTGGATTTACGTTGTCATACGTTGTATGACCCGCCGCGCACGAAGTGCGCGGCTCCCCCTGTATCGTCGAAGACTATTCACTATTGTGAAGCGACAGTGGGGGTCACCACGTGATACAAGATTTACATTTTAAAACCAGAGGATATAGCCAGCTAGGCGGTGCCTCTCCAAAGTTAAAGACTGTCCATCGGTCTATCTCTCTTTACAGGAGAGAGAGAGAATCCGGACCAATTTGCTGGACAAACGAAACGAACGGACCATTTTTAAAAATGGCACCTCTTCTCGGTTTTTAGAAAACTCTTGAACAGTTGAAGTTAGACTACTGCAAAATAAAAATATTCTTCTGAGCTAAAGAGTTGTCGTCATTTTTTCTGGAGGCGGTCATAAATTTAATGATCACAGCTGTTGTTCATGATGCCAGCTAACTAGACCGAACCGCCACAAGGCCCCTCACTCCATACGCATATTAAAATTCAAATTAAAAATACACCGAGTCTTTTTTCCGGAGAAGGAACGGCTCATCGTGGAGACTAATCCAGGGTTATTCAAGTAAATCCGGATGCTTCTGAGGGCAGCTGCGATAAATAAAGAGTTGAGACACAGTTAATAAACTGCGGAGTGACTAAAATGCTATACAGCAAAAACAGAACGCTCCAACCAAACACTCCACCTACTGATCCTAACCACTCTAACAACTCTCTAGCTCTCTCTCTTCAACCCTCATTCCCTCACTCCTCTTGGTGCACAAAACCATTCTAACCTATGTATGTCCCCCCTACGGGTTCCACAAGCCCAACGGTACATAGTCAGACGAAAAACAGAGAAGCCTTGATTGCCAGATCAAGGACTGCATCAGTAGCAGCGAAATACGGATATACCTTCTCCCTTACAGTCAGCGAGCTGACAACAATCTGACTGTGTCTTTTAGGCCTTGCCACACCACCTTCGCTATTGCATCCGCTCGCCCGTATTCACTGACACATGCCACACCTGGGTTTAGTATGAAGATGTACGCATATTCACCCAAGATGCGGAGATGCCTCAGTTTAGCGAGTTGAGATACAACAGCAAACTCACAGGAGCATGGATCAGAATCATCAGTTACCAACCTGACACCGTTTCGGGGCTTTAATCGCAATACGGTTTCCTTTCAGGCGCCCCAGCAGTCCACCCTTGAACCACCATCTGATCCGAGAGTCACTTGAGGAGACCCGTTAGAGCTCGCAATTGGCGACGAGATAACGTTTATGGTACCTCTAGATGTTATAGTGAACTCTCAAGCTCCAACCTTCCTGAACTCCCACTCCCTCTTTCTCGATAACAAGTAAATCCATCTGGAACAGTGGGCTGCCTCTTTCCCGCTGTCCCGTACCAGCTTCTTCAGCTCTCTTCCCCTAAAACCAATCCTCCTCGCTGCTCTCTCCAAACTCTGCGCAACCACTCCCCTAGCTCCAACTTCGACTGCGGCATTATAACAGCACCAACCTTTCGCCTGAATCTCAGCCTGCAGACCGCTGTATCGGTCGAGCTTGTACTCGTGCGATTCAGCGATCCGCTCTTCAGATGGTACTGTTAGCTCCCACCAAATAACTGTCTTTGCCGACCTTGAGAATATCACAAGGTCCGGCCTCAGCCGTGTTTCCACAATCTCACCGGGAAACTTAAGCTGCCCCTCAAGGTCTGACAGCACTATCCAATCCCGATACCCACTCAGGATCCCAAAACCACGACTCTCCTTCCGGTCGTCTGTACCTGCTTTTCTTTTCCCAGCAGGAACAAAATCAATGAACTGCCTTCCATCGCCGGCCTTGTTCTTATAAGTGTTCACTCGGCGATCACAATGGAAGACAACCTGTTCAGAGATCTGCTTCAGAACCTTGTCGTGCCGCCATCTATACCTTCCTTGACTAAGGGCCACCTTACACCCAGCTAAAATGTGCTGAATGGTGCCCATCCTCTCCTCACATAACTTGCACTTCCCATCCTCATCTTCACTCCACTTGGAAACCATAGAGGGGGTTAAGAGGGTGCCGTACACAGCACTTAGCATGAACCCAATAAGTGAGTCACCATACTTAAAAAGTGTATGCCAGCTCAAATCCGTCTTCATTACGAGCTCTCTCCACTCACCCCACCTGCTCTGCATCTCCAGAGAACCTACTTGCACCTCCCTCTCTCTTTCAATGTTCTCCTTCACTCTCAGCATAACCTCCCTCTCTCTTTCCCGCTCATCCATCCTCTCCCAAGGTTTTTTCCAGTCACCAAAACCGATGCCAACTCTTTTTTGAGGTTGCACCATCCCTCGCACCGATTCACAGACCAAATCCCTTCTGGCCTCTTCCAGTTCTGTCTCAGGCCTCCAAACTCTACCAGAACGAACTTGGGGCTGGACTGCTTTAATCAGGTCATCCTTAGATGTCTGATAGGATTGCAACAGTCGACACTTCTCTATCTTCCATGTATCTGTCAAACTGCTCACCGGTAAGGCCACACTGGATGATTGACTGAACAGACACAGACCACTCAGAGTGTGCCCCACCCCTAACCACTTCCTGAGGAAACTATTGGTATTCTGTTCCCATCTGGTAACTGTTGTGATCGGAATATCATAGATGGCAAGAGGCCACTTCAGTTTTGGAAGGACCATGTACTGATATCCCCAGCACTGGACAAACGAAACGAACGGACCATTTTTAAAAATGGCACCTCTTCTCGGTTTTTAGAAAACTCTTGAACAGTTGAAGTTAGACTACTGCAAAATAAAAATATTCTTCTGAGCTAAAGAGGTGTCGTCATTTTTTCTGGAGGCGGTCATAAATTTAATGATCACAGCTGTTGTTCATGATGCCAGCTAACTAGACCGAACCGCCACAAGGCCCCTCACTCCATACGCATATTAAAATTCAAATTAAAAATACACCGAGTCTTTTTTCCGGAGAAGGAACGGCTCATCGTGGAGACTAATCCAGGGTTATTCAAGTAAATCCGGATGCTTCTGAGGGCAGCTGCGATAAATAAATATATAGATAACATAATATTAATAAATATATTTATAATATATAGATAAATATATAGATAATAAATATAATGTAGTTTTTTGCTCATGATATTTTTTGTTGAGGGGCAGCTATTGGCGCGCGGCAAGAAAGGAAAATGATCCAAAATCTGACGGGTTTCTTCAAGCAGGGCTATTTTTAGGTATAGGATGAAAAGAGATAAAGTGAATCGTGCTGCACCATTGGCATTAGTCGTGGAATAAAGCGATTATTTTTGGTCATTGATGCGGCTTAATCCTTAGGTCATATGCTAGCCTTTTTGGAGCCACAATAAAAGACGGCAGAAAATATTCCTGGGGATCATTCACATGAGATTACGTCATTTTAGACGCCCCTTCCCCTCCGTTAGCCTCTGCCCACTTCGCGCAGAGGTATTGTGAGATTATGCGGACATTACATGAGCTATTCCAAACCTCCTTCATCCTCCAAGACTCTTTCCTATTTAGTGTCTCAGTAGTAGTAGTACTGTAGTAGTACTGTACATGTAGTAGTACTGTAGTAGTATAACTGTAGTAGTACTGTAGTAGTACTGTAGTAGTACTGTAGTAGTACTGTACATGTAGTAGTAATGTAGTAGTACTGTACATGTAGTAGTACTGTAGTAGTACTGTAGTAGTCTGTAGTCTGTAAAGCACTCTGTGTATCATAACTATTAGATGACAGATGCTTCTTTTTTTATACCTGATTTGAGGTTGGTTGCTATATTGTATATTAGAGAAGTTTGCATTGAAACGTTTCGCTATTGCCTTATCTTCATAGCAATATTATGTTCATTGTTGTACTTGTAGCCGATATTTGCACTGGATTGGATTTTATTATTCCTGCTATACTTTGATTCCTATTTATTTTCAGTCAGCAGGGTACGCCAAGGAATTTCAAGGAAGATAAAAGCATGGTCATTTCTCAACACCATCCTATCGAATAAATTCCTGACCTGTGACTACTGGAGTGGACGTCAACAATATGATTTAATGTTAATTTTGGGTTCTTAAAGCGTACAATAACATATTAGGGTATTATCTTTAGAAGAACAAATTTGTGGTTATTTTGACCACTACATTCACTGTATTGTACCAAATTAATTTTTTTGTGAGCAAATTTGGGTAGTCTTGAAAATTGGAAATTTACATTAAAATACATTATTAAAATGTATTAACGATGACTGGTGTGATATTTAAGTAACAGAATGTTTATAGTTGCCATATTATTACGGGAATTTTGATCATGGGTTCTGCCTAATAATTATCATCAAAGTATTTATTGATTCTATCCGAAAAGTTTTTGATGTTCATTAATATTTATCTAGTATAATGAACCTCGAAAATTTGCAGTCATTCTGTGCTTGAATGATTTTATGTTTAAGATATGTCTCTTTAAGTTTAGCAGATAATTTATATAAGAAGTGTAACTGAATTAGAGAAGAGGCTTAAGTTTGATTAACAAACAAATATTTTTGTGTTTAACGAAGGGACAATTCGACACGGTTGATGACATTCCATGGAGGTATCCAATCAGAACACCACAGAAGAACACCTGATAGCAGATCAGCCTATAATCACAGTCTCAGACGGTGGTCTATGGATCGTAAAAATGGATAATGAGCGGCAGAGTTTAACGATAATGAGCAGCAGACTCAGGACTCTGTGAGATTCGGAGACGATATACGGGAATGACAATAGGAGAAAGAGTCAGTTTTAGGTCAGCACAGTCGATAGGGTTGTTCAGATACTTGGACCGGCCACGTTATGTTTTGATAAGCTTGCTAGTCGCAATAATCCAGTAAGTTCTTTGTCTTAATTTATTAGTCTCAGCATGCTAGATCTAAGAATAATAAAAATGTAGTTGATTATCGTAGTTCCTTATTCTCAATTAATATCCATTGTACAAAATTACGTTGTCGTTTTCCAGGTCACATATCCACGAAAATTCCTGCTAATACCGTGTTGTTACTTGCTATAATAGATATATTCCATTTTAATTAATTAATTGTTGTATTATAGAGTAAGACTTGACATTTCCTTTTATATTAATATTTACACGTGCAAGTTTAAAGTAGTTTTCCAGTTGGCTACGTTATAAATTGTTTGAACACGATAGTTAAAAGATATTGTTTTCAGACCAGACTTCCTCCACCATTCGTGACGGCCAACCTGTTAAAGGTCGAGACACTGTGATACTCCATTCCACCTACACCATTGCTTAGAGACTTTGAAAGGTGATTGCACCATCATAGATTTAGAGACAAAGATATTTCCATTAAATAGGTTATGAGAAGATGTTTTCCCGTGTCAATTAATCAGTGTAGTACAAAAATCTTACTTCCATTGTTATATGATAATTTTTTAGTAATAAGGTTTTTGTACATTAAATGTACTACTATTAGTCGATCAATATTCTTGCTCTACATTGTTGTATCAATTTGTGTCAACCCAACAAAATTGAAAGTCTTGATTAAATTCACAATACCATGAATAATGAAATACGAATTAGCATGAAGAATTTCCCTAAAACCAAATTTTAAGGCGCTCGATAGACTCTCTTTGTATAACCGGGGCCTCCCATGTATAGTTCTAGCCAAGTCAAAAGGAGCTCAAGTCTAAATCATTTTTTGGAGGAAATAAAGTACTAAATATCATAGTCATGGGAAAGGTGATTATTGCCCGGTACTTGCAACTAACACCTGTCTTATAGTTGTTACCGTGGTTAATAACATTGACAAATCATCACACCAGAATCATTATTGTCTAACTATATTTTTTTCATAGTCATGATAAATGTACACTGTCAATTTTAGTTGTATAGCAAGTATATACAAACATAATCCATTCAACATCTAAACAAGTTCAACGTTATAGAATCCTACTTTTATAATTTATACAACCAGTCTTTCTGTGGTAATAACGATTAAACAATTGCCGAGTTAAAATTGAAATTAATTGAAACTGGATTATTATCATAAGTATTGAAGTGTTGCACTAGATATACAATAAAATATTGCCAACATTTTTGGTTCCGATAAATTCATTAAAATTCATCATACAGGGTGGCCCAGAAGTAACTACCCACACGCAACCCTTTAATAACTCAAGTAATTCGTATTATAGAGTTTCTCTGAAATTTGTGAGCAATTCTGATACGAATTACGTGAATTATTAAAAGGTTGCGTGTGGGTAGTTACTTCTGTATCAGAACATACCTGCTATAACAGGTACCATACAAATTAAGTTGCAGGTACCATACAAATTAAGTTTCATTAAGTTACATCTCTTACAGCCAAGTTGGCTGAGCCAACTGCATCTATTTTCCTGCTTTCCTCGACATCTCAAATCTCTTTTTCTACACTCTCTAGAACAAGTGCAATCCTCAACAGTCCAGTCTCTTACAGCAAGCAAATAATATCTCATTAATCTAAATCTTGAAGTATGTTAGCTCTTTAAAGTATGTTAGCTCTCGCCATCCTCGGTATTTTGAGAGTTGAGCGCATAGTACATTCCCCGTCGGAACATCAACTCCTGATGTGTACCTTGTTCTGCTACTTTACCTTCATCTATAACACCTGTTGCAAGGAAATTGGTTATATTTGTAGGGTGATGCAATGATAGATTGTATGGCCAAATCAGGAAAAAGTTTGCCTCACGTCGTAGGCCCGCCGCGCACAAGTGCACGGCTGTATCGTGACTTTCGCCCCGATACTGGCCCCCACTAAATGAAAAGATATGAGGGTCACAACGTGATACAAGAAAAAGTCATACAGACTATAGAGTTGACCGATTTTGTCAGTATCCAGGCCCGATACCTACTGTGAATAGAATCTGGAAAAGTTTGGCATGTTACCATTAATCATGATTTTTCGTCTAACTATGTACCGTTGGGCTTGTGGAACCCGTAAGGGGGACATACATAGGTTAGAATGGTTTTGTGCACCAAGAGGAGTGAGGGAATGAGGGTTGAAGAGAGAGAGCTTGAGAGTTGTTAGGGTGGTTAGGATCAGTAGGTGGAGTGTTTGGTTGGAGCCTTCTGTTTTTGCTGTATAGCATTTTAGTCACTCCGCAGTTTATTAACTGTGTCTCAACTCATATGTAAAGTATGTAAGGATAAAGCCCAAATTGCCAGCACTCACATATCATGTCAGCAGTGTGTATGGTAGAGAGTCTGTGCGCGATCACTAGACAAGTCCTTCCTTTCCTAGCTTTATCCAGGGCTTCTTGAACAATCTAGTGTGGGAGACGAAGTCAGTTCGAGACGTTAACGGGTGATAGTGATTGGTGATACAATATTTGTTTCAAATATTAGACCGTCGACTAGTCCAACTCGGCGCGCATCTTGGTAGATTATAAACCTACAATTCGAGACGGGGTGAGATTTGTAGCGCGATGCACTACTGGGTCGCGCGCGCATCAAATAATGCTTCTCGCAACCACAGATCGGCGAGATGTGAAGGATTGACATCGTGAATCAAGGGTGAGATATGACAGTCATCGTGGCTATATTACCATAAATGTAGTGTACAGTGTACACATGTAAAGTCTTATCAGGTGACCTGGTAAACTATTTTACCAAAACCCATATTCATGGGTAGAGTGGACCGCTACCAGTGTCTCTCTTTCCCAAACAAAAGGAAATGATATTAATTTGATTGACCGTTCTCAAATGCAAAATGATACCGAGAATGAAATCGGTCGCTCGCTTTTCCCATTCATTTACAATTGTAATAGATTAAGAAGATCTACCCAAAGGCAGCTGTACTCGGCAATAAAGATTCAATAAACTTCAGCTAATTCAATAAGCAATAACTACTACCCTTACCCCGAAATACTAGGTATCGATCCGAACGCAACCCAAAGAGATTTTTACAGCATCTGACTGATGTAATAAATCGAAATTTATTACAATTCGTAAGCCGTGAATGAATGGAAAAAGCGAGCGACCGATTTCATTCTCGGTATCATTTTGCATTTGAGAACGGTCAATCAAATTAATATCATTTCCTTTTGTTTGGGAAAGAGAGACACTGGCAGCGGTCCACTCTACCCTTGACATACGTTGCATGCCACTTTTCGCGCGCGAAGCGCGCACCGCCGAAGGCGGAAAAAGGGGCATACCATAAAGGGAATCGGACATTTTAGAGGGACGCATATTCTGCGTCCCTATTATCCTATTTGACCAAATATGGGAGTAATTGACTGAGATGGCGCGCGCGCGCCACCAAAACAGTTAAATGCATTGTTTTTAACCAAGTTGCAATATTTGTGAGTTTACTTGGTATCTTTGTAGTATTTTTACTATCTAAACGACTTTATTAAGTCATTAGAACCTTCATGCAAACAAAAATTGAAATGTTTCAATATTTCTGTAAACTGAAAACTTGTTATTTTGTTCCAAACTGCTTAATTTTTGTACGGCGCTACTAATTCATGAAAAACGCGCTATATTTTTATTTCGCATTGGATATATAGATGACCAATGATATCGTGGTATTAAAGTCATGTGACACCGCGATGAGCTAGCTGGCGTCTAGCTGCCTAAGATCATATCTATGCTTTCTCCTTTGTCCTATTTTATCACTCGATAACTTTTTACACATTCTTTTTTGTTCAACCTGTTGTTCAATTTGTTTAACATCTCTCTGGTTATTGCAAACCACTACAATCCCCAAATTTATACATCTAACCATCTCTCTGGTTGCTTCCAACTCGTTAAAGCCAAGGCTCGACCAGGACCGCTTTTTTGGGGCTAATATTAAATACTAGTGGACTCTATGCAGCTCTTCCAGCACCCCTAAATTTACTGATCTGGAGGTCACATTTTATTGAGCCAGTACAGGCTAATATTAAATACTAGTGGACTCTATGCAGCTCTTCCAGCACCCTTAATTTTACTGATCTGGAGGTCACATTTTATTGAGCCAGTACAGGCTAATATTAAATACTAGTGGACTCTATGCAGCTCTTCCAGCACCCCTAATTTTACTGACCTGGAGGTCATATTTTATTGAACCAGTACAGGCTAATATTAAATACTAGTGGACTCTATGCAGCTCTTCCAGCACCCCTAATTTTACTGACCTGGAGGTCATATTTTATTGAACCAGTACAGGCTAATATTAAATACTAGTGGACTCTATGCAGCTCTTCCAGCACCCCTAATTTTACTGATCTGGAGGTCACATTTTATTGAGCCAGTACAGGCTAATATTAAATACTAGTGGACTCTATGCAGCTCTTCCAGCACCCCTAATTTTACTGATCTGGAGGTCACATTTTATTGAGCCAGTACAGGCTAATATTAAATACTAGTGGACTCTATGCAGCTCTTCCAGCACCCTTAATTTTACTGATCTGGAGGTCACATTTTATTGAGCCAGTACAGGTGCCCAGCATCACTGCAACAGCATTATCAGTCATCTTCTAGAAAGGAAACCACTATCATTTCACAACTCCCATCTAATGACTTTATATCAAGATCCACCAAAATTTGGAACACAATTGCACCTAAACTTAAGCTCTTTGACTACTCCTACAAGATTAGCCTTGCTAAAAGTCGCCTGAAAAAGGCACTTCTAAAGCTGCAACATGCTTATAATGATTCGGCATGGACCACAAGCGATTATGACATAATGCAGCTGTCATTTAAAAACAATCCCCTTCATCAAATTTAATTCAGTGATCTCGGCCCACAGGCTCCTCCTATTAAACAATTTTGATTTTGGTAAATGTGTGCTGACTCCACCACCTAGACCTATGTATTTAACCTAATATTTAGTGTATTACAGGTAGAAATTGACTTAGGTAGGTATTTTTATCTTAGGTAGATATTAAGAATTTGGATAATTTCTTAATTGTATGACTATTTCCATTACTGAGACGTTTTTAATATTTAATTTAGGAGGGTTTTTGGAATTTTTTTAGGACTGGTTCACAGAGTGAACAGATTCCAGATTTATATATTTTTAAACTGATATTTAATAAATGATTAAAAGAACAAATTTTAAAGTTGCCATTAGATCCAAAAATACACCCATTATGCTCACTTAAAAACAACTCTAAATCAGTAGGCTGTCACTCTATTAATGCACCACACCGCTACCTCCACTGCACTAATAGTTATACAATAAATTCTACAATCCTAATTTTGTGTCGTGATGGAGACCGGTGTTCATACAAAACATTTACTAGGTTGCCGTTTGGTGTGAGCAATAGCGAACAGCACGCACACTCCTTTGCCCCGTCAACCTATATCTAATCTATTTAAAGAGTGACAACCATACTGCACATTGAATTAGGATTCCGTTAAATATCAAATTGATTTATTGTAAACTTGTTTAATCTGTAATAAATGGCATAAAATTGAAATTTTTGTTTAACTGAATTTTTGTTTAACTGAATATTAAATACTAGTGGACTCTATGCAGCTCTTCCAGCACCCTTAATTTTACTGATCTGGAGGTCACATTTTATTGAGCCAGTACAGGCTAATATTAAATACTAGTGGACTCTATGCAGCTCTTCCAGCACCCTTAATTTTACTGATCTGGAGGTCACATTTTATTGAGCCAGTACAGGCTAATATTAAATACTAGTGGACTCTATGCAGCTCTTCCAGCACCCCTAATTTTACTGATCTGGAGGTCACATTTTATTGAGCCAGTACAGGCTAATATTAAATACTAGTGGACTCTATGCAGCTCTTCCAGCACCCTTAGTTTTACTGATCTGGAGGTCACATTTTATTGAGCCAGTACAGGCTAATATTAAATGCTAGTGGACTCTATGCAGCTCTTCCAGCACCCTTAATTTTACTGATCTGGAGGTCACATTTTATTGAGCCAGTACAGGCTAATATTAAATACTAGTGGACTCTATGCAGCTCTTCCAGCACCCCTAATTTTACTGACCTGGAGGTCATATTTTATTGAACCAGTACAGGCTAATATTAAATACTAGTGGACTCTATGCAGCTCTTCCAGCACCCCTAATTTTACTGACCTGGAGGTCATATTTTATTGAACCAGTACAGGCTAATATTAAATACTAGTGGACTCTATGCAGCTCTTCCAGCACCCCTAATTTTACTGATCTGGAGGTCACATTTTATTGAGCCAGTACAGGCTAATATTAAATACTAGTGGACTCTATGCAGCTCTTCCAGCACCCCTAATTTTACTGATCTGGAGGTCACATTTTATTGAGCCAGTACAGGCTAATATTAAATACTAGTGGACTCTATGCAGCTCTTCCAGCACCCTTAATTTTACTGATCTGGAGGTCACATTTTATTGAGCCAGTACAGGCTAATATTAAATACGAAACATGTATCAACTCTACCCATGAATATGGGTTTTGGTAAAATATCATCTCTTTTTGATTATAATGTCAGGGTACTTTATAAAGTCGAAATATAAACTGATATCTTCATTAATTAATAAGGAGGAAGTTTCAACGATTTCGAAATTTTCCTTTAAAAACATTTCCTTGTGTTTAGGTAAGCATATCGGTCGATCACTGACTGAATATGCCACCTAATACTCATTCAAGTTGGCATTAAATTCATATATAATGACATTAAACTGTCGTGGCAAAGCAGAATTTGTTGGAAATCACGAATGAGCAAAATTCTCACCTTTCGCACGTGCAAACTTTGAGCGGACGTTGCGTGCGCATCCAATATTGAATCGCCGTAAATTTTTTCATGTGATTGTTTTATATATAGCTTGATAAGCACGCAAAGTTTCAAAGTATTTCAAGAAGAACTGTAATCACAACGGCACTCTAAAGTTGACAGAAAATGACGAAAACAGCAATTTTCATTGATTTTAGCAATTTTCTTTCAATTTGGGCGTGTCCCCACGTGTGCAACTTTTCGATTTTCAACTTTAAAACTAGCCTAATGCACAATTTATACCTATAGGAAGCAGAACTGAGCTCCACAACCCAAGGCATGGCCCAACACCAGAGAATACTAAATCGCAAAATTGACGTTTTTATAAAATAATTCTTCAAAAAAGCACAAACTTCAATGACGAATATCTTTATGAAGGAGCAAGCTAGAAAAACTTTCCGGTAGATTTTCAGAATGCTTGAACAATTATTTAACGTGAAAATCTCCTCAGATTTTGAATAAAATTACTCCTTAATGGTTTAAAATTAATTTTAAAAGTTATTACTTTGTCAAAAATCAAGTTTTAAAAACGGTTAACTTGATGACGTCATCAAGGGGTGTTTATGACGTCAAATAATTTTTTTATACAATGTAAACTAAAGTGTAAACAATTATTTGCAAGACCTGTGGTCGGAAATGGCTTTATCTTTTATACTTTTGAATCTATGGACAATTAAATACAGGCTACAATTGACTGGCAAAGCGTCTATCCCTGAATATGTATGTATATATATATCACGACAATCTGTCGTAAAACAGGGGTTCTAGAAAACCCATTTCCCGATACTCCTGAAACCTGAAACTTTTTTTGCAGTCGATTTGATCAACGTCTAGACGCCCTGAAAAATTTCAGATCTCTAACTCAATTTTAACATGGTTTTTAAGGCACCTGAATATGGCGATTTTGGGTTTTTTACCGAATTTCGTATAACAGTGCTGGCGAGTATTTTATGCAAATTTCTTAAAAATCTCAACATAACTATTTTTTATACCTGTCATCTTTGACATCAAATTAGAATGTTTTGAACTAAAAATAATTCTGCTTAACGACTTCCGATGAGTCTTAATGCCTGGAAAACTCCTGCCGGAGGCGGCGGCCTTCGGCCGCCGCCTCCGGCCGGAGTGCACGCTTCGCGTGCACAAAAGAGGCTTGTAACGTGTACCAAAGGGGGTATAATAGTAAAGGGGGTATAATAGTAAAGGGGGTATAATAGTAAATGGGGAACATAGTATACCCACAATAAATGCAACGGTCGTGCTTGCCAGCACTGTGATGAATATGGCAAGAGACCTAGTAATGAAGTAATCTAATTCATTACTTTTCAAAAGCTAGAAGCTAAATCTCTAGGCCAATACAGCAATACTGTAATATATTTACTAAATCCGAAATATAAGTTCACAAAACTAAGACCGAATATTAGAATAAGTCACGTGATCACACCTTCTCACTCTCAGTGTCGAGTGCGCTGGTAGCCTCATCTAGCAGTAGTATCTTAGGGTTCCTGATCAGAGCTCTTGCTATTGCAATCCTCTGTTTCTGACCTCCTGATAACTGGCCCCCTTTCTCCCCTACTCGTGTCTGGTATTTCTAGGGGGAGTGTTGGGATGAATTACTTAGATCAAATATTACATGTTTTAAGCAGAAAATGTAGTAAAGCTGCAAGCAGTTTAAATAAGAATTGAAAGTTTAATGAGTATATTTAACCCTATTTAATCACTTAAAACGTCCTTCTTAAAATCCTTGCCAACCTCTGGAAGATTGTCAACAAACTCGTGAATGTTAGCAGACTTTGCAACCTCAATAATCTCAGATTCACTGATCTGCCTATCAAGATCGCCGTACATTATGTTCTCTGAATGGTTCTTGTTTAGTCTTTTTTTAATCTTGAACTTCAATACATAAGTCACATTTCAATGCGTTTCGAGTATTGGTAATTTTTCGAACTTATCTGAAATCGCTTTGAAAATGATCAATTTGGTAAATCATAATTCGTACCTGCAATCGAAGTATCAAATAGAATCGGCTCCTGCGAAACAAGTCCAATTTGTTTGCGAAGATACGATACATTTATTTGCTTCAACTCTTTATCGTCCAAAAACTGAAAGGAAAAACTGTTAACTGCCGATGTAAAAACTCTATTATATTAGACTACGGTGATCTAAAAGAGAAAAAAAAAAGAACAAAACGATGCCAATTGTAAAGAAGATCTCAAACTGATGACCATTGACCATTCAAAAAATCAAGAAGAATAAACAAAAAGATTGTTTTAAAAATATTTCTGGAAGCTACTTACCACAGATCCGCCGAGAGAATCGTAGAATCTCTCAGTAAGTTGAATTGTTGTACTTTTGCCACACCCACTCTGACCTACTAGAGCTACTGTCTGTCCTCTGAGGGCCTCTAAGCTGAGTCCTGAGAAGTTAAACAGCTGTTATAATAATTTTTTAAAGATTTTATTCTGAAACATCATGGTTCTAATCTTCGACTGTTTTGTTCACTGGAACACTCAACAGTTTTAGTTTTTACTTTCATATACTTGAAATCTCATCCCTCGAAGTGAGTAAAAATAATGAGTTTTGTAAATGAACCTTGCAAGACAGGATGGTTAGGTCTGGTAGGGTAGTTGAACACCACATCTGAGAATTTCAGCTTTCCCTCCACTGCAAACTGGGGAATCGATATTGTGAGAATATAATTGACAGTAATAGATATCGTAACTGTTAGCAATGTCCAATCCATTGTCGTGATGGAAATGATCGCTTCAATTTCTTAACCGACCAAACTTAGTTCTGTCACATCATGTTTTAGCGTCCAGTCATTTTATACTTTACCAATGTTTACGTTCGCTAGTTTAAATTCACGTGCTAACACATGCGCGCGCGTAAGAGTTTTAAAAGTTTAAAGTAGTAACGATAGCGTAGTTTTCATACAAATTAGGCCTAACTTTTTCGCGCTCCAGAATCAACAAATATGAAATAATATCGTTAATGAGACCTCCTAATTGCTATCAGTAATGAATAATCAACAAATGCAAAATACGAATGAGGCAAACAAATTCCACTGTAATAGACAGAATACACTAGAATATTACACTCTGATTACTGATACGGAATATGAAGAACTTAATACTTGAGCTTGGTATACTAACTGAGAGGCGAGAGTCTATAATCTGAACATTGTACCATTAAGATCAAAATAATCTTACCTCCTTCAAACCATCACTCGAGTTAGCGTCAATAGCAGGTACATTGTAGATGAGCTTGAAGATCTTAGCAGCGGACACTGTTGCTTTTGTGTAATCACCAAGATAGGACATAGCCTCCCCCACAATCATACCGGAAAATATTATAGCGCTGAAAACTCTGAAATGTTGAGAAACATAATAACTTGCTAATCTCAAGGTAGGTATCTCCTAATCAAGATTTGACATGACTGATGACATGCGACGAATTTCGTAGATTGATAATAGCGTAGATATATTTTCAGGGTCCGTTTTTCTTATTTTATTTTACTTAAAAATTGTATTTTACTTTTATAGGACAACTGTACAAGAGCGGTATTTCAATATTTGCACTTTTCAACAGACAATTATATTACAGTATGCATTTTCCAGACATTATAGACACATTATAGACACATTATAGACACATTACATACATTAAGATTTTAGGTCTGACATAATATCGCGAATTGTGTGATCACGCAATTATTCTGATTTTAACTGCAAAATTATTCGCATACAGAAAATAACCCGATTCTGCAACTAAACCTACAAAAACTAACGGGCTCACACAATTTATTTTCCGTACGTGTCTACTTTCGAATGGAATGTGAACACTTTCGTGTGGTGTATTAAAGAGAGTAAACATTCCACGTAAACATGAAGTCTGCTACACTTTCTAAATTTAGACTTACCAGTGTTGGAGAGAAAAGGCACTTGTTTCTGTCTAGTTCTAATGTAGTATATACCGTCACAATAGTGACTTTAATATATATGTCGAAATTCAATGCCTGACTCATTAACAAACCTGAATCAACTTCAGTTCGGCCTAAACTTTCAGGGTCTTATTTTGACATTAATTTTACTTCAAGCCCCTGGACTCCTGGAGTTTTGTGCTATACCTAAGGCACTTGCAATAGGCCTTCAAATGTGACATTAATTCACCGACAGTTGAATCGTAGGGAAATTATTTCATTGGTTGTGCAGAGCTAACATTTCATCAGTCTTAGAGGACATTAAATCAAGAAACCTGTGGGCCCAAAATCATAAAATTTTTTAAAATATTGAAGAACCTAACCGCAATTCAATGATAATTAAATTAGAATCAACTGAATATATCTGGTTATAAGCGCAAAGTACTGAAATTATCTATATCGGTATGTGGACTTTCTATCCATTAGATATATGGCCTGGCTCAAGCATTAACAAGGGGACTGTAAACAAAATATTTATTTTAAAAATCTTTCTTTTTCTTTTTAGTAAATTATATAAAAATAAAAATATTATAAATCTAAATCTTATGATATTGTTATTATCTTAACAGTTACTGTTATAACTTAAGATTTTGAATTTGTATTCCTTGTGTTCCTTGTGTTCCTATATATATACTATACCTAAGATTTCCACATAAGCGTCTGTACGTATCTAACTTCAGTTCAGGTAGTGGAAGGAAGTTCGACAGTGCGTGTGAAACACACATAGTTTAAATCGCACATCTGGAAGTGCGGATTTGTTGCTACCTGGACTGTAGTTCGAAAATAATAATGGGAAAAGATCATGACGTTCACTAAGACTTGAGCACAATGCTTTCCATAGATATTTGTTCTTTTTGTCATTCTTGGGAGACATTTTCATAAAGTACGAGAGAACACAGAACAGGGAAAGCAAGCGACCATTCTCGGTATCATTTTCTGGGAAACAAAATGTTCGATATCATTTTCTCGGTATCATTCTGCATTCGAGGACGGTTATTCAAATTGAAATCATTCCCTTTTGTTTGGGAAAGGGAGACACCAGCAGCGGTCCACTTTACCCATGTATGGGTTTTGGTTTAATTGTATATATAAATAATAGAGGAGGTTCTCTTCTACTTCTGAGTGGGAGGACGTTGCTGAGTGGGAGGACGGTCGATTAGTTCGGGTCACGAATTATGGGTGTTAAAATATGGACTGTTATAAATATGGTTCTTTGGCCCGAAAAAAAAACAAATTCGACCGCCCCACTATTTTAACTGCGACTTTCCTTTCGTGAAAAATCTCAAATCGAAAATATTGATACATTGTTTTTTCGCAATTATAACCACATTGCCGCTTTCACACCAAATTAGACCCCCCATAATATTACCGACTAAGGTAATTATTTTAGCTTAGCTTTTGGACCATTTACATTTACCTACAATCTAGATATAATCAATGAGCCATTAAAAAGCAAAGATTTTATTGAAATATTTCATCACACATCATAATTGAAAAACTGAATTTCAAAAGTTTGCATTCTTTACTCCTCCATCTCCACCTCGCTGTCCTTGACAAGAAGAGGATATGCCCCGTCCTGGAAGAGAAGACAATTGTGTCCGGCCATGCCTCGAGCCCAGTAGATGTAACCTTGGTCTCCCCATTTGGTTCCGAAACTGTTCTTGAGAATTATAGCCTCCGGGGTGTAACCTACAGCAGTCACAGCGTGGTCTACCCCAGTCCCTGGGCAGGTGCTGTACCTGTAAATCCCTCTTTTGTAATATTGTAAGCTACTCCTGAACATTTGTATTGCAAGAGCAACAGGACCTTGAGAGAGTCCAGCAACTACACCAGATTCACTTCTCACCGTGTCCATGTACCCAGTCAGCTTATACCCAGCTAACGCGTTAGTTTTCCTCCCGTAGTTACAAGCTCCATCTCTACCTGTGTGGGGTGCTTCACTTCTCAGACCAAGTCGTCCGGTTTTCGTGATCCAATCAAATGCCTCCGTGTAGAACCCTCTTCCATTCCTAATGTCATCGTCTGTGGGGTATACACAATCCATGAGCTCCTGGTCAGCAAACTCCACCAAATCTCCTGTCAGACCCTTGTAGAGCCCCTCAAGACAGGTGACGGTAGCAAATCTCCTGTCATACCCTTGTAGAGCCCCTCAAGACAGGTGACGGTAGCGAAGGTCCAGCAGGAAGATCCAGCTTCTGTAGTTTGACCGGTGACACGTGACCAGTTGCTCTCCAGTCCAGAGAGGTGGGAGCACCAGGCGAGGAGGAGGGAGCTGTTCTGCCTGATGGAGTGTACAGGGAGGCGTTCATACCTCTGTACTGGGCCTGCTCTTCCTCGGTCAAGTCTGCAAAGAGTGTCAGGCCAGCTTCCCATGTGTTGCGCTGCGAGTTCAGTTCTACGATCTTTGTTAAGCTGTTCCTGAAGAGTTTCATCCTCATTGGTGCCTCAGCTAGGCTGTAAAGTCGTCCACCTTGAGCCTGAAACTCCTGGAAGAGCGCGAAAAGAGCTCGAGGAGACTGGAGACCTTCCTCGGCCTGGAGTTTGTAGCCCGAGCAGGAAGCTAGTGAAAGGATTAGTATGAGCAGAGTGTTCATGGCTGTGGTTAAATCTGAAGTGAGTGGATTTTGGGTCAGTCTAAATATTATATATACTTATAATGGCAATCCAGCCAGATGGTGTCAATCAGGTGTTACAACATTTGTACAGCGAACCTCCATTTCATTTAACTATTCAGCTAATAGAATCATGAATTTCATCAAGATGAAAAGAGTCGCTAACCAAGACGAGAACTCTTTAGTTTTTAGCGACGCACCTCACCTTTACTGTGCCTCCAGGGCGCCGGACATTTGACACATCATTTGATTATCGTGTTTTAGAGGGCGCCTTGCAACCAGGTGATCATATCAAGATCTAGTATCATCCTTTTAGGAATTGTTGAGTAATCTTCTTGAGTTGACAGAACCGTGAAGACCGTACATTATGATATGATTTCATTATATCTGGAAAACCCCGAACAGTGTGTTTCTGGTTTCATGACGTCATCACCAATAGTCTAAATCCAAATTGTCGTTACTTGTCACACCAGAAATATAATACAAACTATTTTACCGAGACAGTAACTAGGGGGATTTTGAATTTAATATAAAGCCAAAGCATTACGGGCATAATATGATGCGTTACACTATAATGTAGTGTTACAAATACAAAGTAAGAAAACGGGTAATGTCTCTGAGCCTAAGGGGCAACTCTGGTCACTGGTGTCTACAAACAGCATAGCTACATGATTGGACAGTCAAGTGTGTTTGGGTACACAGCAGGGACAAATGAGACGAGGGTACTGCCTAACACACGTTTACATGGGTAAGAACCAGGAAAGTCTTAGACTGATTTTATTTTTACGGTAGTGAACGTCACCTCAAACACCCTCTAAGTCTGCTCAAATATTACAGATATGCTTCAATGGATTGTTGGTTTAGGTTCACGTACCCTAGTGCGACACGTACCCTAGTGCGAAACCTCCAAGATCGACATTGTCGCACTAGAGTACGTTTTTGTAGGACTTCGCACTAGAGTACGTGTCGCACTAGAGTACGATTACCGTTGGTTTGCAATCCCTTGGAGCAGATTTCACCGTTCTTTGTTTTGATATTAATAGCAAGGTGGTTTGATCCATTGTTGGTTTGCAATCCCTTGGGGCAGATTTCACCGTTCTTTGTTTTGATATTAATAGCAAGGTGGTTTGATCCATTGTTGGTTTGCAATCCTTTGGGGCAGATTGCTTTGTTTGGTCGGTCTCGTGATGTCCATACCTTTTTGATTTAACACTTTGGTTGAGATTACTAATAATAGAAATCGTTTCATAATGCCATCGAATCTCTATTGTGTTATTTTAAGATTGATCGATCGGCTGAATCTTTATTGTGTTATTTTAAGATCGATCGATCGGCTGAATTAATTTTTCTCTCAGAATGAGCTAGAATTTCAAATAAAGCTAAATTACGTATTCTTCTTTTCTCGAGCAGAAGGATGGACACTATAAAAGTCAGCCCAATTCCTTTGAGTTAGCAGTCGATACTCAGTCAAGCACTGAGTGCTTGAAGTCATTTATTTTTTAAGATTATTAGGAATAGGACTTGTATTTACGATCGAAAAGAATTATTTATGTGATGGAAGATGGAATGCGGACTAAAACCACGCTATTCTCTCTTTCTGATATTCGATAAGACTTTTGAAAACGAAGATTTTGTTAAAGATTATTATAAATATTAATTTACAAGACACCAATAACTGTTGGCTGCTCAGGATGTTAAGCATCAAGTGTTTATTGATATTCATCCTGGCCCAACCGATGTATCTCTGCGCAAACGGTAGGTTTCTAACTTCAAAT